CTGCCACCCCCGCTGCGGCCGCGAAGCGACTGCACCAGCCGCTTGGCGCCTGAAGACATTCCACGGAGGTGATCCAGCCTTCCGGTCTTTTCTTCTTCCTGTCTTCGCCGAACCCGCCCCGTCTACAAGCCCGACGATATCCACCTACGCATTTTAAATTACACGCGTTAGATTTTAGATTACAGGCGGCGCTCGTTTTATTTGCGCGAAACAACAGTGTGTATTCCGTAGAGATATCGAGATGGAGTGCGCGCCAGCGAGATGAAAAAGCGGCACAGCGATAGGAAAAGAGCACGAAGGTCTCTGTCTCTCGTGTCCTTGTCTGATAACTAGCAGATTGCGGATTTTCATGTATCCACGACACTACGTACTTGGTGGGTAAAGCAATTTCTCTGTTGCGTCTGTACCATTTTTAATTATGTTCTCGAAAATACGGATTTGCATAAAAATCCGCAGTCAACGAGCAACGTCAGTGTGCGTGCCTGATTAAATAAGGACACAAGGCACCTCTACGCGGCCTTTTCTTTCTACTTGCATGTCGCAGCAGCCATTTACACGGTAACATACGACTCGCGTGCTCTATCTTTGTGTATGGCGTATTCCGATCGCGGGGGAGAAACGTGTCGAGTATTTGGTTTGGCTAAAACGAGAGGGCAGGTAGAATTTAATTTGTTCGGTATTACATCGCGGTGGTGATCATCAGAGTTACTGGTTTACGAAACGTTTCGTTGCATTTTGCGTGTATTCGCGACTATTTCTTTGAAAGTAATTTAAATCTGCATTGTTTGCGAGTCGTTTCGCAAGTCCTGACGTTTTTCTTATTAAAAGTTTAACGTGAAAATATTGGAAAGAATTATGAACTCGATCGCTAATGTTCCCTCGTTTTCTACCGTAGCTTTCCATTTAAAAACTAATTTGCCTGCGCCTCTTAAAACCTCGGTATTTCGGAGTTTCATCAGGAATCGTCGTCGCGGAATTTTCAAAATGATCTTTCGCCTGTCTTCGTACGTAGAAATTAATTTTCATGAAATTTTCGCCGATTAAAAATGAAGTATCGATCAAGTATTTTTATGGTAAAGATTACACCACAGAACAATATCTTCGTTGGAACTTTACCCAGTTGCAAAATATCCTCTCCAGTTTTGCATATTTCGTTATTAGGATAATTGTTAGCGGATTTGTAATTAGCACAATTTCGAAAATACTGTTTTCGAGAGACGTCATTCGTTTGGAGATATAAATTGGTGTATTCGCGTTAATGAACGAAATGGAATAAAGGTAGAAAAGGTACAACAAATAGAATAATTGATTCGTGGTGGATATTTACAACGGTTTTGAGCAGTTAATTTGCTTTGATAAAACGATCAATTTATACGCGTCGTGATTGGATCACGCTTGCTAGAAATCAGACTGTTTCTGCACTCGTAAATAACAATACAGGTAGAAAGTCTGGTTTCAGATTTCATTAAAAAACCGTACAGACGAAAAACCAATCTCTTGTTATTTCGTATTTTTGTTATAACTTTTTAACAAACCAACTACGTTCCTATGTTCATATAATATTTTTAAGCTTCTTTTTCATACAAAACATACTAGCAGCTTTAGGTACGATAACTGTCGCACACAAGTGTATACTTGATAACGTATGCATATGTTTCTGAATCTTTGATTAAAAATTATTACATTTTGTTACATATTCGCTATATACGCGATCCGGAAACCAAGCTAATTTTAGTAATTTTAGAGTAGATAATCAGTATTTATTTATTTGTTCAGAAACCACACGAATAACTGGAATGTAATTCATATGAAAAAAATTAATTTGATTAGTTACTTAAGTTCGAATAGTATAATTTTTATAATATAATTGATGTTTATTTGAATAATTTACTCGGAAAGATTTTATTACGATTTTTTATTAATACGCGTAACTAACTTCACCGTATAACAGATTCTTTTGATGCAAATGAGGCTGCTGGTATGTATTTGCAATGAAATTGTCGTATTTTCTATGTACATCGTGCGTGCGTTATGAACGTGTGACTATTACTAAATTCCTTCAATCGTTGATAATTTCATGATGCATTCCATAATCCGGAATATCAAAATTGAATATTTTAATATGGAAATTAATTTCGCAGATACTAATCGCTATAATTTATATTTCGATATTGGAAGTTTAACCAACTTATTGTTAGTTAGTACATAATTCATGTTCTGCGAGCCACATTTTCGATTATATTTTACGTTAATCTGCGCTTAAATTAATTTATATTGTATTTACACGTTAAATTAATTAAGCATACTTATCGAGTTAACGAAAATTGACTTTTCTCTGTACGTATTGTATTTTAAATAGATAAACAATGCGTGTGTATGTGTAAAGTATGTTCTATTAATATAAAAAATAATAAATCTTGTTAATATCGTAAAATATTCTTCCATTGTGTTGTGAAACAATGAAAGACATTTTCTACATTTTCTTATAAACGAATGTCGTCTTTCTTCGTTTTGCAATCTCGTTTTCCTCAACGCTGTATTGCATTCAAGAAATAGGAACGTTGTCGCTACAGAATTTTGTAAAGTCTACGAAATGGAACAGACAAGAGAAGCATCTCGGATCACTTGTATAATTTCCCCGAATTAAATCCGCTGAAAGAGTCGTGTGACTTATCAAATACTCTAAAATCGCTCGATTTTCTCGAAATCTTCTGGACACCTCGAGATTTGTTTCCTTAGATCGTCCGCTAAATTAAACTATAAGAGTTCCTATTTCAAAAATTTCATCCGAAATTTCAACTTAACAAACGAAAGAATGTAAAAAGTAATCTCACCGAGTGAGGATATCCGTCGTCTCAGTGATAGTCTGCTAATTGGGAGTTACCAGCGACGATAGCCACGCACACACAACCGCCACCGGTGTCACCGGTCTAAACGCAGAATCACGTTCATGTTCTCCGTTCTTCCCGGTATCCACTTGCCTCTTTACGCCCGAAAACTCCAAACTCCGATTCCACTAATCTTAGACAGAGCCACGCGTCGCCTGTGCGCTCGCTGGCCGACGACGAATCCACGATCGTCTCGACAGCATCACACGATTGCCGCTCGTGCTTTTCTCATCCCGTCAACGGACGACCCTCTTCTCGCGAACCACGTTAAAAGGAAACGCCGTCGACATGCCACGAGTACGTCGCAAGAAACGCGATGTTCGACGGAATTCACCACACGTACGTCCCTCTTATTTCCCTCTTATTCTCTTTCTTTTCCCTTCTTCCTCCTTCTACTTATTTTCAACGTTGACTAATCCTGTCGCGTTGAAGGAAAACGCCGTGCAGCCAGACTCTTTAAGGGATAGCAGCCGTGCAACAAGTGTCTCGGGTCACGGCACTCGTGTCACGTGCTTGCCTTCTTCGACGAGCTGCTGCTGCTGCTGCTGCCAACCACTCGATGCTCCCCTTCGTCCTTTGCTCTCTTCGCAACGATCACGATGCTTAACTTCCGTCAAAGCGCTGTATAGCGCGATGGTACCTGAAAATGGTGCGGATGAATCAGGTTAGAGCACGACAATTCGCTGACGATGATCGAGCCGAGCGGCAGTAGGTTCGTGGTTGTGCTTGGAAATTTAGCGATCGGTGTTTGTCGAACGTGGGTTTTGGCCAGCAGAGTGAAAGGCAGGGAGAATGAAATGCAAATTATCTATGCATGTATATGTAGCTGTAGACGGCGACGAAAGTATCGATGTAAAAGTGTCGAGTAAATACGTATCAATGAAGTTTTTTTTTAAATACGGCTCGTTTATAAGGTATAAATATTAACTTTTATTATTTACTAAATAATCTATGCACTATAAGGGATATAGGTAATATGCTACCGATAATGTACTATAAGGACAGAAATAAATGGACAGGTAGTGGAAGTAGATGTCAATGCAGTTTATGTACTACATAATTTATGTGCTATGTACTGTGCCATATATAAAAGTGAAGTATATGATACTGGTACTAGTTCGATTAAACTTCATTCATATCTACTTTCGCTACCTGGCCGTTTATTTTTGTCGATTGTGTAGAATTATGCATATACATATATATGTGTCGTGTATACAAGGCGGAAGAACGTAAAGCACTTCTATTATCTCTTTCATACGATGCAAAAGGTTTTTCGAAAGAGGAGTTAAAACGTCTACTAAAAGCTAATCGTCTTCCGACAGAAATAGATTGATAACCGAACCAAGACGTATAGATTAATGTATTGGAAGATGTATGGTTCGATAGAAGAAAATAAAGTTGACGTTTGCGTTTATACCTGTACCACGGTCGTGGCGGAATCTTCGTGCACAGGGAAAATCAGCAGCAGCTTTGCATTGACGTACTTCGTTAAGTAGAAACGAAATTAAAGCACGCACACACACACGCGCGCGCACACGAAAGAGGGAAAAGGAACAAACAAAACGGGAAACGTAAAAAAGAAAAGGGAAAGAAGAAACTTGAACATTTGTACATTCAATTGCATCACGTCGCACGCCATTCAACTAACTCACTGCGCAGTGTTATCACGCTAAACGTCGCTCATAGAATACAATAGCCGATCGCGCCAAATTCAAACGGTATTCTATCACAAACTGCAAAAGTGTTACTCGCTAGCCAGATGGAAAGCTAGCTATTGAAAACCTAAACTGGACATAAACAATTTTTCAATGCGTTTCTTAATGCTAAAAGAAAGCAAAGTAAATGACGAGACTGTAGGAACTCCATTGCAAGGATTATGGAATAATAAAATCGCACAATGGCTCGAGAAGGTTCGTTGTGGAAATTGTTCCGATCAAATACCATTTATGATATTTCGAAGAAGCTGGGTGCGATTAAAATTTTACGTTTGAAGGGGAAACATTTCGCATTCACCGATAAAACGTTTTACAGGAAGATTCATCGTCCCTTGCATCGATTGTTAACTATTCGCCCCTAAATAGAAAACAGAATAGACAGGCAAACACTGGACGACGTAAATCTACCAACAATTATTAACCGCGCTGTTCACAAATTTACCCTGTTCCTTCGCTCTCCAAGCTAATGCATCACACGTGGCTCGTTTAGAGGCGGCTAATATATCTTGTTCATAATTTGTGGCAGCAAATTTACGTGGTCGGGTCTTGCGAAGTCACGCTAATAGGACCCGCCGTTTCAGAATCGGATACTCGACGCTGATGAGCGAGTAATGAGTCGAGGATTAGAAGAAGCCTCGAGAAAATGGCTAATATCAATTATCCGTTGCCCCGATCGGACAGGAGGAAGGCTCGTGTGTCAGGACCATTCCGAGCAACGGTTAGCGAATCGACTCGGCTGAGTGAGTCATGTGATTTGATATTAACAAAACAAGGGTTTCGGTTACGCTCGTTTAGAGGCAACGCTCTGTTGGGGTACGGTGAATTCTAGAGTTACCTCCGGACGCATTAATAAGCCGATCGATTAACTCTGCCTTCGAATTCGCCAGTATCTGCTCTCCGTGGACCAATTTCCATCAAACTGCATCGACATCGCGCACCGGTTAGCTTCAAGTTCTCTCGTAAAATATCCAACTGTTTCCAAGAGCGCGAAATAGTACGAGTGTGTCTATCTTTTTCTTGGGGAGCGAAGGAATACGAAGATCACGGGGGTAGAACACGATAGGTACGTTTTTGTCGAGTTCCTGATTTTTGTATCACTTTATGGTCAAATTATGGGACAGGAGAATTTTTGAAGCAGATGGGGAAACACGTGTTTAGCTTTGAAGTCGTTTTAAATGAAAAACGATAGAGGAACATTAAAAAAACATTGCAAAGAAGGTATTACAGTGCAAAAGATCTTTTCTATGTATGTATTTATTATTTCTAAACGTATGCATTAGTTTATGCGTTGCGTATAATATGTACATTGCTATACATATTCTTTTAAAAAATCTTTAATCCTAGACAGTTAACGCGACTGTGTTTCTTCTTATGTTCGGTGTTACTTCCATTTTCTTTTTATCCTGCAACGTTTACTCGATAGATTCAAGAAGTTTAATCAAGCGTTGCATAAAATGCTCGAGACTGCATAGAAATCGTACAAAGCATTTTTATAAATCCTGCGATTTGACTCGTAAAAGATTCTCCGTCGATATTTCCACACAGTGCTTTCATCTCGTGAATAATACAAAATTTTCAATCACGCGACGAGATTGCCGAGTCGTCTTTCACAGATAGTCAGAATTTCGTTACATATTCCGTCGAATTTCATTCCGTTGAGTGCAACACCCTCCAGACACCACTTTCAACGCCAACAAGTTGTTTTCTCGACTTACATCTACATTATGTCGTTACACCTTTTTCCCTATCCAGTTTCCTGCATTCGTCCATGCGCATGACAAATCGTGGTCAACAAGTTACTGAATACGTTTCGTGAAACGCGAGACAAAACGAAAAATTCGGCACACGAGACAAAACGATAACATTAAACGGAGAATATTACTCGCAACGTTTTACAAAAATAATAAAACGAAGAGTGGAGGAAGAGGGGAAGAAAGGAAGTGCTTGAGGTAATGAGAAATCAAAAATACGAAACGGCCCAAGCAACGTAGACCTGCATAATTATTTAACTTAATTTAATTTTAACGTAATTATTTGTTATAATTTATTGAAAGTACCGAGGACACTCATATTATATATTGCACATTGATCGTTGTATCGTACTCTCGTGTGTGTAAAATTTTGTGAAACTTTACACGGTTTAATGCAGTTTAAGGATGTCTATCTTGTTACGCTTCTGATATTCGTCGTTTCTATGATCGCTAAATCCACGAAAGATCTACAATCGTCTAAATCCTGTTGCTACGCTACACGCGTAGATTCATCTTCGTCTCACATGCAAATTCGTTCATTATTTTTGCCTTTACGTTTCTCCCTTCAGTTCGCGCGATTCGCCGATCAAAATAACGTTCTTGAAGGTGGAAGTGGAAAATACCAAAATGTGTGTACATTTCAGGAACGAAAATCATTGTGGGGACGATCGTTGCCGGCACCGAAGATCGCGGACACAGAGGAGAGAGAATGGACAAGCACAGTGAACACCAGGGACATTCAGCTGTCGCGTTCAGTTGGCTTGACGTATTATTTCCACCTATTATTCTCGCGTTGCGTATAAAAAGGGCACTGACAGTAGCGACGACACTCGACAATCGTGATACGGGCAAAAGCCCCAGCCGACGATATATCGAATTATTCCGCGGACAAAGAGCGGCGAATATCTCGACGTAGATAGCGGAAAAGCGTCGACAATCGCGACCGCTTTTGTCCGAGTTATTTCTTCGCGAGATAACCGGATATTCTCAATCTGTTTCGAACCGAAGGAACCAGATATGTATCGTTTATCGTAGGTGACTTGGACAAGGAAATTCCTCGGATTCAAAATACCAAGAGTACCATAAATACCAAGTGATTTATCTTAACAGAGAGTTACGTACACACACGTTTATATGAACCGTATAAATGAAAACTATTTTGAGATTATTGGGCTTCTATTAATAGGAATATTCGTGTTGGAATTGAAAGTAAAGACGATGGTGCTTTCATCTGGTTCGTTTCTTCGACGCGTTCCGAGGCTACGCGGGATATCCATATTTCTAAAGTTTACGAATCGTTTGAAGATATTTTACACCGATTTCTCGTGGAGAAAAATTCGTCGAGAAGCTGCTTAGCCCACATTCACGTTAAAAACGTTTAGAAACACGGCTCGTTTCTCAGATACATATTTCTCGAGAAAGATAACAGGGAAAACGGTAGAGTCAATAATTGGAATGTAAATTTCGCGAACCGGCCACGAAGGAGCTTCGTGTAACGTGCGTACTGGCTGTGATCGATCCATTGCCTATGGATACGAAGCAATAGACGTTCAATGTACAACGTTCCAATGTTTCGGAACGCGCTGATTGTAAATGACTGAACAGCGACAAGGGATCGCGCTTCCGTTTCTAGCTTGTCGATGAATGCGTTCGTATTATCGCCGGATGATTGAGACGAACTCGGCTGTTGCCCATTCGGTTTCGCCGAATTAAGCGCAACATTATCGGATAAATTTCTAAGTATGTGCTGCGTTATACGTGCGTACGTACGCGGAGGCGACATAACGAGGTCGTAAAATCGGTCGGGCGTTCAGATTTACATGTTTTAAGAGCGAAACGCGCACAAGTTGACACATTTTAGGGAACACGAGGAGCCAAAAAATACGCGAAACAGCAGGAGGAGAAAAGAAACTGCTTCAACGTAGAAACGAAATGATGCGATCGATTTAAATCGTCAACTCGGCAAACTTTGGTAGATAGCGACCGATAACTTGCGATAGAATCCCGCTTGTCTGTACAATGTACAATTTAAGTGACCAATTTAAAGTGACAAGGCATCGACCGACGTGTCGTGAGACGCTTGCAATTGCCTGGAATCTGTACGGCGACGAATTCGAATCGCTTCGAACCTAATTCGAGTCTTAAAACTCGATCAATTTTGAATCTTAATACGT